GTGTTGTTATAAAAAAAAAGTATTTTGTTAAAGTCTTTGTCGTGTTCGAACCTAATGAAGATAGGCAAATTCACGTAATACAAAAATTTTAATTAGTGATTGGCGTTGCGCTGGAAATGACCAGTGACTGATATAGATTAGGGTTGCGCAATAGGCGCAGCGCACATTGAAATTATAATTGCGCCAATTCCTATTTTACTTTACATATAACGCGCGTATGACTACACAAGATTTTTACACATTCTTACATTTGCGCTTATAAAAATATTTTGAATTTATATCACTGTTCCCGAGTAGGTATTAGAGTATCCAGGATTATGCTGCATAAATGTAATTTTGCAAAATTATTAAATTAACTAGAGGTAATTGAGCAAGATCTCCTACTGTTATAACATTTATTCTGCCAAATGCTAAAGTATTACTATGAAGATTAGCAAATATATTTGAGAAGTTCAGCAGAGACTATAGAGATTTCTTCAATAATTATAGTTTCTACTTTTGTCAAAGATGATTTTAGTTCATTATCTATATAAGCATGAGTGCAAAAATTTCCTTGTGTGAAAGTGATTTGTAATTTTGAATGAATAGTTGTGCCTCCTACATTTTGAGCTGCTACTTCAGTCAAGGCTAGTAAAAGATAAGTCTGTTATTTTCGGGTAAAAATATTTAATATTATATTAATAATATATGATTTGTCAGTACCTGCAGATCCAGTTATATAGAAGTATGGCCACTTAGAAATACTATTGCTACTTTATCTAAATGCATATTGATGGTTGATAATACGTGATATTGATTATGAGGAAGTTCAAGCATGACAGTTTCTGGATAGATATGAGGAAGGATTTTTAAGTGATCTATCTGAGTTCAGATGATATCAGAAAGAGTAATAGGAAGTTGAATTCTTAATGAGAGTAATAATCTATCTAGAATTAATATAAATTGATTGTTTATAGATGTTATTCGTAATTGATGTATATTGGCAGTCTAATTATATAAGTTAGTTAAAAGTTTGGATATAAAGATAAGAATTTTTCACAGTAAGTGCCATTTAGTCTAATTTTATAGTTAGATTTAAACCTTGTTAATACATTTAGAAGTAAATGTTGATAAAAATAAAGTTTTCCATCTTCAATTTTAAGGAATCCATACCTTACTATTATATCTTTTGATCATTTAATAACATAATTGTTTAATTGAAAGGTTGTGAGTGGTAATGAGGGTGTAATTGAATATCTTTTAAAATACTGAGAATATGTAAGGTTATCAAATTCAGAAGTTCATGGTCATGACATATATTTCATTATAGTGTCATCATAATATGGATTTTTGTCATTTTCATTAATCATATAATAGGAAGTATTGTGAAAGGTCTTATGATAGGTGGTTTAGTTGTTAGAAATTTTACTATTGTAGATGAGTTACAGATCTGGTGACCTAGAAGTAAGAACATTAATTCTATAGAATCAAGTCTTCTTGCAATAATGTATTCTCTTAATAAATCATTTTCATAGATATTAAATACATGTGAAAGTTCTTTTTTTGTGATATATTTCATCATATAATAGGTGAATTCTTTATTTGTTATATATTAAGTATTTATATGAGCATTTTATATTAACAGTATTTGAAAATAATAAGAAACTACCCATGAATTTGCTTCTGTTAAATATTTGTAAACATAACAGTAACTTTTTTCTTCATAGTGAATTGTAATATTAAATAGATGTAAAAAACTTTTCTTGCATGTTTGACCTATAATTACTAGTCCTTGACATTGCATATTGTAAATGTATATCTGATGTGTTAATAAAGTTCAGATTTGTATAAAAAATCAGGTATTGTAGAATGAATTACATCATTTTTAATCATATTATTAATAAAATTGGTAGTCTAATAATAACTATATATATATATAGTATCTTTATTCTGAAATTCAATCCTATCAAAAAATTTGTAATCTGATCAAAACTGATAAATTCAGGTTTTTTATATAGTTCTTTTTTTAAAGATTGAAATTTATATACAAAATAATTTGCAGAAACTCTTTCTATTAATCTTTTTAACCAAATGTCTCCAACAACTAGAAGACAGAGTACATATTGGAAAAAACTTGAACCTTCAATAAAACTACTTTGAACTCTTTAGAAAATAGTAAAGAACCTAGTACTTTATCCTCTAACATAGTGGTCTGATCTGTGAATACAAAATCCGAATATCTATATGAATACACAGATATCTGGATATTAATTTTAAGTGACAGATAGAAAATTGTGAATATGCAAATATTTATAGATATCTGTACAATTATCTGTTATTTTGTGTAATTTAGCTGATTAAAACGCATATTTGCCATATTGATTAAATATGCAATAAATTAAAAAAGTAAAAAAGGTGTTACTTTTTTTAGTTTAATCTTTTATAATAATGTCTGATGAGGAGATTTTGCAATTAGAAAATCTTGAAACAACTTCTACAAGTAGATTAAAAAGGTCAAGGCAAGGAGTATATAAATTATTAAACTAACAAAATTTAGTTCTAAATAGATCTGTAATTAAGTTAGATTCAGATACATATACAAATATTCAGCAAAAAATTAAAAAAATGATAGGAAGCGTAAGAAAGTTTTAGCAAAAGTTGATCTAAATAAAATAGCTGATTAGCTAATTTTAATTCCAAATGCTAAGCCACCTAGACAAAGTTGGATATTGAATTATTTTGATCAATATAAACTAACTAAACAATACAAAAGAATTATTAAATATTTAGTTCAAGTTCAACAAAAAAATGACGCAAAAATATGTGATTATTTTATAGGTTCTAATAATTCCACTGGAAATTTTATTATCTATCTTACTACATATCAAATTATTGAAGAAAGTCATAAAAGAAAGATGAATAAAATACAAAATAATATTCAGATATCATAGCCTTGTATAGATAAAATATTATGAAATAATCCAAATATTAAAAAAAATCATGATAAAAAATTCATTGGAATTTTAATCAAAGATAATCAGCTAATTAGTATACGTAATGATGAAGGATTTGTTGAATTCATTTATGAATTTGATCCAAATTATCAATTTTCAAATAATAAAACAATTCAACAATTATTAGCTGAAGCATATAATCAAATTAAAGTTATTTTAACAGAAAGTTTAGTAAAAATATTCTTTCTTATTCTATAATAACAGATCTTTAGACATTTTGAAGTAGATCTGGTTTTATTAGTGTTACGTGTTCCTTTATTTAAAATTTGTGAATCAATTTTATCAATTCAATATATGCCTTACCCTCATACTAGTGATAATATCTGTGAAGTTTTACGTGAAATTATCTCTAATTAGAATCTAAATGGTAAGGTTCTTATAATGATAACTGATAATGGATCAAATATGATTCAAGCTGAAAAACTAATGAATGAATTAACACAACTTTCTTATGCAACACAAACTTTACAACTAGTTGTAAGAAAAGGTTTACTTCCTGTTAAAGTTTTAATTACAAGAGCTAAAAGATTAATAAATTTTTTTACAACATTAAAACAAACAGAAAGACTTTTAGAAATTCAAAAAAGTACCTATTGTTCTGATAATGATGTGTGTGAATTTTTAAAATTTAATTTAATATATTTACTTAATTTAAATTAATAATTTTATATCATTTTAATTTCTGTTTTATAAATTAAATTCTATTTTATAAATTAAAGTATTATATTTTATTATTTAATTTATAATTTAAATTCTTTAATTTATAGTTTAATAAAAATCAAACAATTTATTTAATAAATTATTTTATATTACAATTTATTAATAAAACCTAATGTAATTTTATATTATTATAGAATTTGAAAAAAAATGATGAATACCTTTGATATAGAAATGCATTGAAATTTAAGCTTCCTTACATAAAAATGCTTAATAAAAATTAAAGATCTTATTAGTGTTTTAGTGTCTACCTTGATGATTGATCCTGATACATAATGAGATGGAAAATGATTAAAGAATATAAATCTAACTGATGATGAATAGCAAGCAATAGGTAAATTAGTAGATATCTTAGAAGATTTTGCTAAAGTAACTGAATATTTATATAGAAGTAATTATACAACAATTAGTCTGATGTATAGCCTATTAGCAGTAATTAATAAAAAACTGATACTTAAGAATTTTAATATAGAAGTTATAGATCTGACCAGTCCTAATACTGCCTTTAATGATAATATTAGTTATGAAGATGTCTCAGAAGATGAGATTACTCAGCAAGCTAAATGCAGAAAAATTAATATTAATATTTTACAAAATTGTTTTAAACTTAAAAACTGTGTTAAAATAGCATTATATTAATCTATTAATCACTATTGAAAAGTTTCACAAGAACATGAAATGTTGGCCACATTGTTAGATCTATAATTCAAAGATTTAGACTTTGTCTCTGAAATATTACGCATCAGAACTCATGAATAATTAAAAGACGTCCATTAAAATATGAAAAACCTAACTAATGAGAATCAAGAAGCTGAATATAGACCTATTTCATCAAATTTATTATTGGCAAGAATATTTCAAAATAATTATACTTATGTTAATAAATTAACTAATTATATGGTAATACCCAAGATTCATTTCGATAATTACCTTTATTATAATGAAAAGTTAATGTAACTCAGTTTCCAATATTATCGAAATTAGCAAGAATATACCTGGCAATTTCTGCAACTTCTACTTCAAGCTAGAGGCTCTTTAGTGAAGTCAGTAATGTCATGATTATAAAAAGAATGCAATTAGCGCACAATACATTAGAGAATCTGATTTTTTATAAAAAAAATTAGCGTTTAGTCAGGAAAGTTTTTCCATTAAGTAATACTTATGAAATTGTTGATGATTAAGAAAATAGAGTATTTTTTGAAGTCAAAGTAACTAATTTCTCACATATTTTTCATATAACAGCTTTTTTTGATAATAATAAAGTTTTAACATAAATAATAATTGTATAAATAAATAAATTTCCTCATTTCAGGAAGAAAAAAATTTTATTATCCATCACGAATTTATCTGAATTTATCCAAATTTTCACCGATAGTTATCTGTATCTGTAATGGAAGTCACAAATTATCTGTTTACGAATAAATAAATATTCAGATTGAACCACTACTTTAATGAATATGAAAAAAACAAAATTGATGACACAGTTACTAAAATTACAAAAAGACAAAAAATTGAAACTCCAAAACTCAATATCACTTTAACAGTTATAGAAATTCCAAATACCACTCCAATAGTTACAGAAACTTCAGATACCATTCAACCAACAACAAATACTATGCAAACCACTTTCACTACTTCTCATAACAACTTTGTTTTGAAGACTCTAAAGTCTACGAAATGGAAATAGATTCTATTAAAAAATTCTACTTTATTCACTATAAGGATCTAATACAAATGATTTTAGATATGCAAAGAATATAACAAATAACACTAGTCAATTTTCATCTACATCTTCCACTGACTCTCTTGGGCTGACCAAATTGAAAATAATGTAAACAATTCTGACCAATCACATAATACTAACGTGAAAGATACTACTTTTAATATTATTACCTCGCTAATGCATTTTTTCACATCTGATAATGCTACAAATATCACTGGCAAATCTATCGCTGATAAAAGAAATTTCATCAACAGGCTTTTCATTAACTTTTCTGACTATTAAGGAGCTTTGTATAACTTCAAATTCTTTGTTTACTTCTAAACTCTTGATCAACTTACACATGCTATTACTAAAGTTCAGGAGATATAACATAATTCTGTGTTTGTGATTACTGATCCATCTACAGATAGATGCTAAAAAAGACAGATGCATTAAAGTCAATAATATTCTCTTATTTGTTAAATCAAATATAATACAAAATTTTTTCCAACAACGTGGTATTATTGCCAGATTTTCAATAATTATCAGGGTTCCTGGCAAATTGCATTCATAGTCTATGAATCACCTAATGCTATAAAACCCTTTTATAATGAGTTATGATTTTTACCATTATTAGATTTCACAGTATATATTGAACCTACTGACCTTGATGCCATGCAATTAATTCTACGATAATAATTCGAAATGAAACTAACTGGACTACTATTCAATATAACACAATGAGATTTATAAACCTTTCTTGAGTCTATTAATGCAAAAAACATATTTTATACTACATGATCTCTAATATTGTAATCATTCTTATACGTACATTAACTTTGATAACCAAGATAATTATGACTCTGCGATCAAATCTCAACACAAATTTAAATCAAATATTTTATTTTGAGTCAATCCTGCTGCTCCTTACTGTCAAAGATGTGGCAATCCTGACCATGAAGCTAAAGATTGTGCCCCTCAAAGACCTTCAAACTCATATAGGCAATTATATGATATTTTTAAATCTACCACTTATAGACCTTTCTCAGAAAACTAATATTCATACAAATAATTATACTGTAAACACACAATCAAACCAAAGTCAACAAAGTTCATATGCTGATGCTCTAAGAACCAATCCTAAGAATCCTAAGCATTAACAACAAATCTCAGATATTTCTATAGCTCTAAATAATATTTTGAACTGTTTGAATGATATAGATAATAAGCTAATCATTCTTAATGATAAAATTATTACAGCAAAAAATAAAATCATTATTCTTCAAGAAAACCAAGAGGACATAGATTATTGCATAACTAAATTAGAAAATGTAACAACATTGTTTATACTAAAGGAGTATATAACAGTGAAATGGAATTTGATGATTCACATGATCGACCTCCTTCAAATCCTTTAACCAACACATCTCTTTTAGATAAAGTAACCAGATTAGAGAATCAATTTGTAGAATTTTGATCTAAAATTAAAGACATTGTGAATAACATCTAACAGATCTTTTAAATGCTTTCTTTTTCTTCTAAATGAGTTTATAATTAAATAATAATAATATAGGATCGCATTATACGAATCCTAATAACAATAATTTTCTTTTAAACAAATCTTTTACAAATATTATCAATAATCCAAACCTCATTTCCTTTGCAACACATAATATTAGAAACTGTTCATCAGAATCCAAACTTCAAAATATTAACTTCTTTTTTAACAACTTTAATATAAATATATTAGGTTTAAGTGAAACTCATCTTAACCTATTATAAGCTTATCATTTTAACAAGAACATTCATAACAAACCTTTTAAATATTTTTTTATTCTTCTAATCATCATCAAAACTGTCAAGGTGTAGGATTGATAGTTCGTAACAATCTAAGCATACATATTTTTAATTAAGCTTCATTTTTTGATCGTATTATTTACCTTGATTTTCAATTCAAAAACAAATTCAAACTTCAGGTCATTCAAGTTTATTTACCTGCTTCTTATCATAATAAAAAAGATTACCATTATCATCTTCAAGTCCAAAAAAAAACTTATGAATATTTTAATAAATAGTTTGTCATAATTTTCATATCATTCTAATAGAAGATTTTAACATAAATATAAGTAGAAAATATAGATCCAAACTTCAAAAGCAGCTGTAGAATTTCCTTCATAATATAATTAACCTTAATTTCATTCACACTCTCACCTCTTCCAATCCACATACCCCCTATGTTCTATTTCTCTTCTTCCTATAATTTAACTTTACATATAGATTACATCTTTACCTCTACCAACCTATCACATGACCTCACTTCATTCCACATTCTAAATAACTCCTGTTATCTTTATTCAACTGATCACTAATTACTCTTTACAAAAAAAATTTTTTTCCCAAACATCTTCAGCCTATCAAAAATAATACAAAATCACAAAACAGTCCTTTCTTTATGATAAGACTACTTACCTTCATTGGGATCTTTTTTCAGATAAAGTTGATCTATTACTCAAAAAAAATACTAAATTTAATGATATCTCAATCCAAGACCTTTACACTTCTAACAATTTAATCAATGAAACCTGAATGTTTTTTGCCCAAACTGTTATGAAGTTAGCTTTTAAACATCCCAAAACAAACCACATCAGCTCATCACAATTCCCTTTACTCATGTTTAAATTCCTCAATTTACAAATAAATCAACAAAATTCAAAAACTTTATTATCAATGCAAAATTTTTTCCCTATCCCCTTCTTTTTTCAACATTACTTTACAAAATTTCTTCACCATTTCATTCACAGACCATAATTTTATTCTCAAAACTGCAGCTGAATATCTTATTTCTTCTAGTTCATTAGATGGCCATTATGATAATAACCGCCTAATTCTATATTTATATAAACTAAAGCATAATATTCTGAAACTATTACATGTAAAACAACTTATTATTAGTCAAAAAGAAAATAATGACTGTATACATTAATTCATTCAAAGACATGTTGATAATTTCAAAGATGCTCCTACAAAAATAATAGATTCTTTCTTGAAAAGAAATAGAAAGACTATTGTATTAAACTGTATCTTGGTAAATCATAATACACCTGATCAACATTTGGCTTTAGATCCTGATGCTATCAAACTTCATACTGCACAACATTTCCAAACTGTTGCCGGCTTTACAAATAAAAATGTCACAGATCCAAGTAATGACAATTTCTCTCCAAATTGGCCTATTTAGGAAAGATACTATGATCCTATTGATGACATTCCTGAGGATACTTATGACACTCTCATGGATCTCCCATTGATTGATGAATGGAATAACATTATTAAACACTTACCTGATCAGAAAGCTCCAGATCCATCAAAGATTACTAATGAGCTATTAAAGAAGCTAGGCCTAAAATGCAAAAATTTATTCTACAACATTATTTATGCATGTCTAATTAATAAATTTACTCCAACACAGTGGAATTCAGCTAGAAAAGCTTATATGTTAAAGAAAGCTCTATATAGATTAAAAATTTCAGATTCTTTATAACATTTATTATCAATTTATTTCTTAACAGAAAAAATAGTGTCTTTACCACATATAATAATACTGACTAACCTAAGTTGGAATTTTACATACAAGAGAGAAGAGGATCATAATAGAAATTAAAAAACATTTTGACCTTAATTCAATGCAAGTTAATTTAGAAAAATCCTTTATAGTAACTTCTGAAGCAACAACAACTGATATATCATTCCACAGCACCTATTTGAATAATCTAGTTACTATACTAACTAAAATACTTAATGAATTAACCAGATATTTAGGCATCTGAATTTCAGCTCTTTATAACAAAAAGTTTGTTAAATAACAATTAGAAAATGAGATCACTAATTTTATCTTAAAATTCAACACTAAGCCTATTACAGACAAACAACTTAAATATCTCTGCAACCAAGTTATTCCTCGGCTTAAATACCAGTCTCAACTTATTGTTTTTTCACAAAAAGAATACTTTGCCTGTTCTTTCATATTCATACTTTTATCAAACACAAACTCAAGTTCAACAAATGCACTCCTAATAGTACACTGTATAACAAATTAGCATTTGGATTTAATGATTTAGCATCTAATATGTTACACTTCAAATTATAACATTTTATCTTAATCATCAATAGAGATACCTCAAAATTACTGCTTCCTTTAACCACTAAATTCCATCTTAAACAAGTCCAAAACTTTTTCTGATTATCTAAAAATTCTATTACATGTTGGCCATCACAATTAAAAAATCTGAGACATGACAATTACCTTTGTAATATGCTTACCCTTTATCTTCAAACTCCTTTTTCAATGTAAAGAATTGTTTCTACTGCTTCTAATTTTCATGTATCAGGACACTTAACTTTATCATTCTGTAAAAGAAGAAATGGATCCCCTCACTTAAAAGATGCAGAGCCTTATTTCTTAACCAATTTGTTACCTAAGGAGATTTTTTACTGGAATATTATGATCTCTCTCTCAAAACCAATACTTCAAATAGAGAAGCTATTCCAGGATGGTTTCTTGCCTTACAAAACATTGTTCTTTTAAATCCTGTTCATTCAAACTACCTCAAACCTGAATACTATTTTGCCAATTTTATCCCGCAAGGTTATATCATTACTACTACTTCTGATAGTAAGAGAAAATCTCCT